GGACGAGGTAGATAGATCCTCTTGACCCAGGAAGAAACTAAACGGAAAAGAGCTGGTCAAACACTCAGTCCCAGAGCTACCAATGGAGCTGCTAAGATTAGCGGCCACAGTACTCTTGCTGGAATCACCCGAACTCGTGCTGCTGCGACCCACCAGATCTGCAGTTGCACTAAAGTCGGAGGTCGGCGAGCCCAATGGAGAACAGAGCCAGTGTGGAGGAGACCTGCATTAACCCACAGTGAGTGCAGGGAATAAGACTCTCTCATGGGAAAGGGGCAACCAACTGGACGACATGTTGGAGTCGGACAGGATGGGCAGGAACAAAGAACAGCAGTGACTTCAGTCAGTTGCCCCCTTCCCAGACCAGATTGGTGGGATCTGCTAGGCCTCAGTCACGCCCCTGGCGGGGACCCAATAAAGCATCCCAAACCGACTCCATATGCATGGCACACACTAACATAGTTGTCTAACCTGGAGGGAAGGGGCCAGCATATGCCGCCCCTGCTTGCATCTCAGTGACTAACAGCAAACTGGAGAGGGCAGAAATCCCTAGCCAGCATGCTTCAGAAGAACCATAACCAACAAGGAAAGGGGCTGGGACCTCCACCATGTACCTGTATGGAAGAAACCAAAAACATGACAAGAGAAAGAAACAAGAAAAAGTCTCCAGCCCTCAACCCTGAGAACATTGATCCAGGACAGGTAAATACAAAAGAAACTGAGGGCAGCAAACGTGCAATATCAGACACAGCATCAGTGGACACAAAGAGATGTCTTCAGGACCTCATAGATGAGCTCAAAGTGAAATATTTAACCAAGTAAAGCAAGAAATAAGTAGCTTAACAAAAGAAATGCTAAGCACCTATCAAGAAGATACAGATGGAAGAATGGAGGAACACCAAAAAAAGAGAGAAACATTCAATGAAGAATATTTTTAAAAACCTAGACTACAGGAAGCAGATTCAAAGATATTTCCAGGAAATTAAACACTTCTTTGAAAACTGGCAAAACTGCTTGAAAAAAACTGAGGATAGACTATCAAAACTTGAAGACAGGTTTGCAATGTCTGATAAAGAAAAGATCTCTTAAAAATAACAAGGAAACAGGCAGTTAACAATACAAAGGCTAAAGATGACAAGAGGATCTATAACTTAAGAATAAGAAATGTGAGTGAAGAAGCAGGGGTAAAAACAAAGGAACTACAAAGGCTATTCACAGAAATAATTAAGGAAAACTTCCCAAGCATAGGAAAAGGAAATGATATTCAGATGTATGAGGCATGCAGAACTCTAGCCATCTACAACCAAAACAGATCTACACCCAGACATATAATAATCATGATCCCAGAAATTCAATATAAGAACAGAATATTAAAAGCCATCAGAGAAAAGAAAGAGATCACCTATAAAGGAAAACCCATCAAAATCACAGCAGATTTCTTGACATAGACCATCAAATGAAGAAGAGCTTGGAGTGAAGTATTCCAAACCCTGAAAGAAAATAACCTGCAGCCCAGATTGATGTACCCTGAAAACTGTTTCTCAGAATTAATGGAGAAACAAGATGCTTCTATGACAAAGAGGAACTGGGGGAGTTCATGACCACCAACCCAACCCTACAAAACATACTGAAAGACATTCTAGAGAGAGAAAAAAAAGTACCAGAATTTCAGGAACAGTGGCAGAGAGGCCTCAATGAACAGGGCAGAAAGTAGAATGAAGGAGAAAAGCAGACAACCAATGGCAGAGAAATAGCATAGCAGAAATGAGGCAGAGAGGGTTGGCTATAATCTCTAACATAGATGGCCTTGATACACTGAAAAAAAGTAAAGAAACACAGGCAGAGTAGATCAGGAGGTAGGGTCCACTGACATACTCTGTATAGGAAATATAACTAACCTGAAAAAGGGCTTATGGACTGAAAATCAAATATGAGAAAACAGTGCTCTCTATGACAGGGAACCAGAGAGAAATAGGACAACTCAACCAGCACCTGCAGATAGGTTGGAAAGACAGGATGCTTATGTGCAATAGAGAACTACTTAGCTATAATGAAGGAAAACCTTGAGGCTTTTGTAGGCAAAGGAATACAACTTGAGATCAAGTCCAGGAGTGAGAAGGTTTGGAATCACTTAAGTAAATAGCAGATTGCCCCCCAATCTAAAAACCAAGGGAGTTGGTGGGACCCAAAATGCACAGTGTACTCTGTGGGAATGAAAGGCGAGGAACAGTCTAAAAAAAGAAGGCAGAGGATATTGTTAGTAATGAATCAGGATTTAAAACCCACATTACTCACATCACTCTGTTTAGATAGATTATATTCTGTCCCAGTTGTACTACTTGTACTAGATTTGAGAGCACAGACAGCTATCCCAAAAATAGGAGGAAATATGGTAATCATCCTTAATTTCCTATTAACTTAATCTGAAGCCCTGTATAACTTACACTGTTTTACCATGACTGATCTTAGTTGAATCTGGTTTGTTAGATTGCTTTTGATATTGACAGATTTTATCTGTTATGATTGATAGTATCAAGTCTAAGAGTATAGGCAACTACACTGAAGATGACAAGATTCACTAGAATACCTATTCTGGTTTGATTATTACCTACTTTTGAAGTTTTACATGGTCTACAATGTTTTGTTTTTATTAATATTGTTATGTACTGCTATATTCAATTATAGTATGCCTGATGGCATAGACAATTCTATTGAAGATAACAAGAGACAGCACAGTAACCATTTTAGAACAACTTGTACTGTGGTTTTATATGACTTTCATTTCATGTTTTTTTAGGAATATGTTTTGTTTTGTCTTTCTTTGTTTTGTTTTTCCCTCTAACACAGAAAGGATACAAATACATGTAGAGACTCATGCATGCATAGAACATATAAACAGTTTATGAGAACTGATTATATAACGCATGATGAAATGAACAACTACTTTGAATCTTTTTTTCCAGTATCAGGTGCAAGGCAGGCACTTATGCTGCTGAGCTAAATCCCCTGTCCCTGCACAACTACTTTGAAGAAAAAGAGACACTAAGGTACCCAGTGCTGATTCTGTAGCATCATGATGTGAAATCCAGAAATACTATTATTCTTTGTTCAGAGTGATTTTAGCCTGTTTTGTTGTTGTTTAATTTCAACATACATGAAGGGATGGACAGCTATTTTGAAGAGAGACTATGACAACTATTGTTGACAATCTGATCTTGAAGACCTAAAATGCCTTCTTCATTTTGTTCAGATCAGTTCTACACTATGTTGTTTCATGTGAATTGTCAGTATGTGACGATATGGTCAACTAGTTGGAAGAAAACAGACAACACAATAGATAGGTGAAGATCTTTGATCTTTGAAATTTATGTCTCTTACATTGCTTTCTCACGTTCTGTTTTGTTCTGTTCTGTTCTGTTCAATTTTACCCTCTTTAAAAACAAATTTTTAAAAAATCTTTGGTCTCCTGCATGGAGAATGGGATGGAAACAAGGACTAAATCAGCTGAAAGACAGAGGGGCCACACACAAACACTCCACGCGTGGAAGCTCCATATTGTCCTTTGCTGAATTTTTCTAGCATTTTCTAAGACAGAAGCTCAAAATGAAGAACACGGACACAGGCCCACAGGTGAGCCCTCATCCTTTTAGTGAAAGTCAAGGATCCTTGGACGTCAGCTCTAGGCAGGACACTGGCATTTGCCCAGCTCCACAGGTACAAGTCCGTCCTCACAGAGTGGCTTGCAGGACAGCACCCAAACGCCGTCCCCCAGGGCTCGTTACCCCTTCCCCGCAGTCTGAGCCACTCTCTCTATGCGTGGGGGCTGCTCTCTGGTTGACAATCTCTGCTCTGTCCCCCTGGTCGCCTCACTGTCCTTGGAACTCACTTCAGCTTTCTTGCTGAACTCCTAACCCTCTCTTTGGCTCCAGAATGCTCCACCTGGGCTACCGCCCTGGACACTTATCTCACACCTAATGTCTTCAGGGCGCCAGTCATTGTGAACTGAACACATACATAAGGTGTCACTGACTCTGTATATGGGAACATGGTTTGGAAAAGTGCCCCACAAAGGCCCTTGGGCTAATGGCCTGGGCTCTGGGATGTTGCTACTGAGAGGTGGTGAAAACTTTGAGAGACGGGGACTTACAGAAAGTCCATAGGTCGCCAGGGACATGGAAGAGGATGAGGAGACTCCAACCTCACCTGCTTTATTTCTATTTATTTATTTATTTATTTTGCTAACTGGCTTGTTCTGTGACCAGCTTTTTCCATCTCAAGATCTTACTGTGAGATGCTACCTTGCAACAGCTCCAAAGCAATAGAGCTCCAAAACTGTGAGCCAAAAATAAACCTTTACTCTTTATAAGCTGGATTACCTCAGGTATTTGGCTATAGTCACAGAAAGCTCATATATAATTTTGGGGGTTATTGACGTCTTTTATGAGTTAGAAAGAGCCATGTTATCTCTAGGACCGTTATTGACTAGGAACTGGACACTAGTGTAGCCTAGTAGGAGTTCAACATGACGTTTTGCTGGAATCTGAGGGAAGTGCTGAGCTGGTAGCTCATAGCCCTAGGAATGACCGTGCAATACGTAGTACTTCAAGGGGAGAAACTGAGTGTGATGATACAGAGAGGGGAGAAAAGCTAAGAGATGCAGAAATAGGCCCCGTCTCTCCTCCAGCTGCCACATCTTCCACAGTGATGGTAATGGATGCTGTAAGCTGTCACTAAACTCCTCACTGAGGACAGAACTTGTCCCCCAGCTCCCAGGAGTAGGCATTATTGAGCTACCAGCCCTCCTTGGGATTGCCTCTGCTGGACAGCGCCCCATCCCATGCTGTCCCCTTCCAGGACACCTGTAGCCAATGACAGGATCTGTAACATCTTGGTCTCTTTGCCCCCACTTCGAGCAGCTGTGTTATCAGATGGGGGTGTCCTAGGTGGGTTATTTCCAAGTTCTTGGTATTTCAAACAAAGAACTGCGCAGGACACTCAAGAGAAATAACAAAAGTAAGCTTTATTACAGATGACAGAAGTGGGGCCACAGGGTGGGATCGGGCTGGAGAGGAGACTCATGGCCTCGGCAGGGGCAGGTGTTGGGCCTCTTGGGGTCCTGGAATTTTAGGAAGATCCACAGCTGGGGATTGACAGGAGCCCTGGCCCAACAGGATACCTGACCCGGCCACCGTCTGGGAGGAGGAGCTTTGACTGTACAAGGTTTTCAGCTGACACATCATGGTGTCCAGAGCCCACCCTTGGGATGGGTGACAAAACCACAGGGCAAATGAGGGTGGAGGCTGGACACAGGCCGGGGTCAGATACCTGCAGTTTTGCACATTCGTGGGTCTTCAGGAAGACGGAATGAGCTTTTATCTGTTGAGTTCCCAATGTTTTCACATACGGGTCCTTACTCTGGCCTCTTTCTCTGTGTGATTTCTCTGTTTTGTCCTGGCTCCACCTCCTACCTCAGCTCTGCTGCAGTATCTCAGCCTCAGACACCCTTGTAGGAAGAGCTGAGTGATTTATTCCAACAGCAGCATAGTTCAACATTCCCCCTCTGACCCGACTGGCTGTCAGTGGGCTCCCAGGGTTACCTGCAGGGACAAGAAAATAAAGCCTTTTCTTAGAAGGAAGAGCAGCCCATGGCTGCGCGGGGCAGAGCAGACAGGTAGAGAAGTAGAATGTTAGAAATGGCGTGGTGTTGGGAGGAATACCGAGAGGTCAGAGTGGGGTGGGAAAACATGGAGCTGGGGAAGCGTTGAAAGAACTGAAAGTCTAGCGGACGAGTAAAGGTTTATGAGGAACATGGCAGCAGCATTCCCGTATTTGACAGGCCATTAAATAGAGGCTGGACACAACTGATTCAGCTGGGTCTCCTGGCTTCTACCCTTAAGTTTTTAGATGAAATCATGACACTCTTCAGTACGGCTTCTCACTGTACTACATACAGAACCTAAGCACCCTGCCATGACCTGCAGGGTCTTTCATACCCATCTTTTGCCTCCTTTTCCAGCCTGGTTTTTCCTTCGTCTACCCTTGTAGCTGCACCAGCCTTACCTTGTTGTTCCTTGAATATGCTTGCTCATCCAACCTCAGGGCCTTTGCATCTGCAACACTTTTTGCTTATTTTTCCATATATGGTCTTTGTAAGTTTTCATTTGCTCCATTCCTTCTTGCTGTTCAGTCCTAGAACAAAGGTCATTGTCTAAGAAAGCTTCTCTCCTTGATTAGTTTCTACCTCATTATCCTGATTTACAATCCTCACAGTACTCTTTGCTCCCTGAAAAGGTTTTACGTCTTTGTTGGTTGTGTGATTTTGGTTCCTCTCTCCTCCACGAAGAATACAAGGTTCAAATGGATAGAAATGTGTCTCTCCTACTCATCGTGGTAATCCCAGTATATGATATGGTTTGACACACACCAGGTGCCCTCTTTGCTGAGTGAAAGAATGAATGAACAAGACCTAAGAAGTTGCCCCAGAGCTAATAAGTGGGCAGCTCAGAGAACCGATTTTCAAAGCTTCAGTAGGTGGGCTCAGAGGCCGTCCTGCCCTGGAGGTGTGATATGGAGGCATAACAGACCCCCTAGCAGGACACAGAAGGCCCGTGGGGACGTGAGGTTCGGAATCAACACAGAACAGGGTTTGTCTTGATTCTGCCACTTCCTGACAGGCCAGAGGTCTTGGACAAGCTACTTGACCTTGAAAGGCTTAGGCTTCCTCATTTATAAAGATGAGCTTGATTAGAAGCCACCAGTGGGGGTGTTGGGCTTAGTAAAGTGTTTGGTCAGTGTGGCAAGCTTGGCCAGTGCTGAGTAGATGATAGCTTGACGATATGATTGTTAACTTCTGTTCTCCAGTGATTTCAGGACCTATCTCCATCATCTGCTGAGGCCTCAAGGCCAGGGGAGCGGGGATCCCCCAGAGGGGGATCCCTCTCTCAGAAGTTCTTGGTCCCCCCCCCCAATGGCGCAAATTAACTCCTCTCCAGGGGGCAAAGCAGCAATGCTCTGGCTCAGTAGTGGTGGAGGGGCAGTGAGCACCCTCCAGACCCGTCCTGCTCAGCTGGCTGCCTGTCTGGAACCCCAGCCCACCGCCTCTGTGCAAGCCACATAAGGAAACTGGGCAATCACTGTTTCTTGACAGCACTGCCACACATGTCCCACGCCACTGGAGTCTGCACCATGGCGTCAAATCAGTTATGCCCCACACTGGAAGGGAAGAAGAGACCCACTGCAGTAACAGAAGCAGCTCTGCAGTGGGGTGGGTGAGCAGGAGGGGGAAGTCCCACATTCAAGCACCCCATGCCAGACGGCTCTGGCCCCCCCCCCCCGCGCCTGCTCCTCCCTCTGGCTCTGACTAACACCCTACGATGGGCATTACTGTATGGATTTGACCCTGCCAAGGTGCGCCCTGTACAGGACATAATTGTACACCAGGGAAGAGCAGCTGAGGCTGCCAATCCCCTTGTTCCTGCAGCGCCTTTGGATGGAGGACTGGAGAGCTTCTCGCCTGGGTTCAGATGGGAGCAGCGGGGTTCACACAATCCTCAGACGTCAGGAGGGTGCTGTCCTCAGACTGTGCCGTACCTGTACCGCTGTGATCTCCCAGCAGTCCTGTGAGGCAGCCGCAATCTACATATGAGCAGACTTGCGGAGGGAGGTCCTGTCACCTGTGCCGGCTCACGCAATGAGCAAGCGGCAGAGGTGACCCAGGCCATGCAGCTCAGAGGCTGTACCCTGACCATCATGTGGAGCAGTGCCCCTCGCAGGAACGATTTGTCTCAAAAGGCAGTGAGCTCCCCAGCTATGCGAGTGTCAGGAAGAAACCTGTCTCCGGTGTGCGCGGGTCCAAGTGGGGCTCTGAGCCAGGCACTCTCCCAGGACCACCCTCTTCCAGCCCCTGACACTCCCTGCAGGTAGTGAGTGTAACCCTTTTCCCTGCAAACGTGATGAAACTACAGCCCTGTAACTTTTCAGTTTTAGGACTCGAGAAGAGGAGGCCTCTGAGGCAGGCAAGGGACACGGGGCACCGGGGCTCCGCCTGTTCGGAGTCCGTGGAGGCAGGAGCCAGGGTGGACAGAAGGCTGCGAGCCCAGAGAGGCAGCCGTGAGTGCTGCAGCGCGGAGTTCAGGTCTACAAGGCCCTGAGCGCCTGCTTCTCGGTCTAGCTGTGCGGTGCAGAGCAAATTCCTTGACCTCGCTGAACTTCTGTTTGCTATTTTAAGGAGGGGCGGCGATCACGCGTCGCCCTGCAGATTTTGGAGGGCTGAATGAGCAGGTGCAGAAGGCTCGCGGTCATGCCCCACACTCGGGCCCTAGCTTGAGCCGAGGTGTGGCGGAGCACTAGGTTGGGGTGGGTGCGCACGGGCGGGATCCCGGACCTCAGACCCGGCTGGCGGATCCGAGAGGGCGGAGCGCGGGTGTTCCTGGGGCGGGGCGCGGGGACCTGGCCCTATAGGTTCCCTTGGGACGCTCCCGCAGGGACTCTGCAGACCAGGCGGGTGTCGCTGCAAGCTCCGCGCAGCACTGTGCGTGCGTCCTCCTGCCCCCGCACCTGTCGCGCGCACCCTTGCCTGCACCTGTGGCGCTCCCTCGCTGCCCGCGTCTGTCGCCCGCACCTGCAGCCCTGCACCTGCAGCCCGGCCCAGCATGGCGGACCAAGCGCCCTTCGACACGGACATCAGCACCCTGACCCGCTTCGTCATGGAGGAGGGCAGGAAGGCTCGTGGCACTGGCGAGCTGACCCAGCTGCTCAACTCGCTCTGCACCGCGGTCAAAGCCATCTCCTCGGCGGTGCGCAAGGCGGGCATCGCGCAGCTGTGAGTCAGGCCTTGGGCCGCGTCCGTTCGTCGGTCGGCTCTCCGGTCCCCCTCCTGTCTGCCTGTCCACCTGTCTAACACCTGAGAATCTCCGTCTCTTTCGAAACTTGCTGAGCTGCACTCAAACCCTCCTGCCCCTTTCTCTTGACCTCCAGGTGCCCACCTGCATACCTGCCCCGCAGGTGCACCCCTGCCCCCCAGGCGCACACCTGAGTGGACTGCAAGGCCTTGCTCTTGTGCCCCCCCCCCCACTCAGAGCCTCAATTAGGAAAGTGAGAGCTGGGGCGGGGGCAGGGTGCTTCCTTTCTGTTCCTCTTCTTTGCCCTTTATTCCCTTTGGAAGTGGCCTCCCAAGTCAGGTGTCCAACCCGGAACCTCCCTGGTGGGAGGGAGTGGGCCCGAGGAGGCTGGGAGGCGGTCTGCGTGCCCAGGACGGGGAGCAGCACTGCTTGGTGCGCGGCACCCCAGGGGCTGCGCCTGCCGAGAGCGCACTCACCCTGCGGGCTGTCGACCTCTGCCCCTTAGCGGCATGGTTTGCGCAGCCCTTGCTGCCCAGATTCACAAGGGGCTCAAAATGCCCTAGGGAGTCCCTCTCAGACTTCAGCGTGACAGGAGCCGTGGGGGTCTTGTTAGGATGGAGACCCTCTTTTAGTAGGTCGGGGTGGGGTCTGAAATTCTGCGTTTCCAAGATGTTCTCTTGTTATGGGGAATGGAGGCCACTGGTCTACGGATCCCCCACTGTGAGCCGCGAATAAGTCAGGGAATGTGGGGACTCGGGGCGCCTTCTTGTAGTGATGCATTTTGTAAGTCACACAACAAGCTTTGGTTTGTTCTTCTGTGCTCAAGTATTTTATATCTAACCGGTCTTCGGATTGCCCTGGGCACTGGTAACGTTACACACACCTTTGAATTCTACACACACAAAACGTACATCCTGCTCATCATTGCTTTGGGAAAATGCAGTCCTGCTCCTTTGAGAAGCACCTCTACACACTGGAAAGCTTTCCCCCAATAGCACATCCTGAACTCCTTTTCCTGGTAATCTCAGTCCCACAGTATTGGTTGGTTTAGCTAATTCCTGAGAGAGAAGCCTATGAGAGCCAGGGTTTGTTAAGGAAAGCGACGACCTTTGCTATTTCACCCCAACCCCTCTTTATAAGAACTTTCTAAGCATTCTTTACATTAGCAGACACACTCAGGCAAAACCTTACTTCAGATTTAATTTACAAATACCAGTAGCTTCACAGCTTTAACTCTCTTTGAGGGGCAGGGAGTTCTTTTTAAAAAAATGCTTATCATTTCTTATTTTGTTCTTTCAAAATATCAGAACCCTTCACAACACCCAGAAACTCAAAAGCACAAAAGCTGCTTTGGGGTGCCTCACTTTTAAATAACTCAAATAGTGGAACCTGGAAAAGAGGTTAATAAGCTATGTGAAATGTGTGCTTTTAGACTAGACAGTGGTGAACACCAGTTTTTAAAACAATCTTATTGATAGTGTTGTAACTGCTTAGTGAGTTGCACTCACGGACACCCCGCCCCCCCAAATCATCAACTTATTCAGAAAAGCACCAAGGAAAAGTGAAACTTCTTACCCACTCCCTCGGATATTTACTATTAATCATTTCCTAGTTATTTTCTGAAATACCTCCTTATATAAATTTATACATGAACATGTATTTGCTCCTCAATGTAAATACCAAACAAAATGGGATCACCCTTAGCATGCTTTTCTGCAGTTTGATTTATTATTCAACTTTATATAAAGCACATCCTTCACTGTCAGGGCTTATAAAATCTCTCCTCTTCTTTTTAACTGTTGCATGCTGTTCCACTGCACAGATGCGTCATGAGTTATGAGACTCTCATAAATGTCTCTATTTGGGGACATTTAGGTTTTCACTGCTCTTTAACTATTACAGTGTTGGAATAAGTGTTGATACCTGGCTATGCAGATCGCTGTCAGAGAGCACCAGAATTGTGAAGCATAAAAACTCTTGTGGGAAAATAAGAAATTGACAGCTCTCAGTATGACATGTAGTCAGGTGGGTTAGCAAGAAGACAAGATCTCAAGCCAGGCCTCCAAATTATATTCATTACAGGCTGTGATATGTTGGTGAAAAGCCCACACACCTGCAAAGGGCTTATTAGTACTAAAGATTCACCCTAGATGTGGAAGCACCCGGAGGGCTGTGATGACTGCAGATGTGTGAGAATGTCACCGAGACCAGTTTATGAAACTCACCCTGGCCCTCTCGTCAGGCAGTCATCAAGAGCAGAAACAGAGGGTCTGACCTGCCCACACTCTGGACCTCCATCTCTGACAGCCTGAAGTGACCATTACGCTCAGTTTCGCTGTTTCTGTTAAGACATTTTGAACTGAAAGAGACTTAAGCTACCTAATCCAGTTTTCTTCTTGTACAGATGAGGGCTTTGAGGCCAGAGAAGACTGATTTGGTCCATGGATTAGATCTCCAGAGCCCCAGCTTAGACTTTTTTCCCCTAAAAAACCCATTAAAGCTTGGCTGGGAGTAAAGCTCAGTGGTAGAGTGCTTGATTAGCATGCACAAGGTCAGGGATTCAATCTCCAGCACCACAAAAAAGGAGTGTTAAACCTCATCATAAACTCTAAATCTCATTCATCAGTTACCCTTGTTGTACAAATGACATCCCAAGGACTATTGCAAATATGCCCTTGAAGCCTTATCTCTCGGCTTTTGCTCTCTGCTCCTCACTGTCTGGTGAGAGGGCATGCAGATGCGTGCCAAGAGGAAGCAAACTTCTGGTTTTATCAGAACAATGAGCAACCTGTGGGTCAAACTGGTAAATTCATAGATCAGATGATGAATTCAAGTGTTTCCCCACTTCTTTGTTTTTGTTCCTTTGGGGGAAAGTTGATCTTCTGGTGGCTTGTGCTCTTCCGTCCTGCGGAGCTGGTGGGTAGCTGACTTCCCTTTGTACACATTTCCACATCGCTGCATGAAGAATGCACTGGGTCCATGCCATTTCACAAACTGATTCCAAACACCCACAATGTGCAAAGTTCCAGAAGAGATTGAGAGTGGAACAGCACAGAGCTTACTCTAGAGGAAAAACAAGGCAAGTGTGGAATTAGTTATAAAACACAACATGGTTCTGAAAGCTGCTTTCATAGTTTCCAGACAGGTGCAAAGGATTATGGGACATCAAACTGGCATTTACCATGGGGACTAAAAGGCAGTCCACAGGGCCTGATGGCTATAGAGCCGTCCAGGCTGGGCAGTGATAGGAGGAGAGGTTCTGGGTTGGGAAAGTGTCCCTGCAAGAGATGCTCATTTCACTTGACCAAGGCATGGTGCACACTTGCTGGGGCATTTGTGGATGGGGAAGCATCCACTGGCAATTGTGATCACTTTACAATTTGGGGCATTTGCCAAAGGAGAGAGTAAAGGTTTGTGGGCAGGGTGGTGGCTAAATTGAAAGATATGAATAGAAGTCTGTAACTGGACAATATTCAGAAAGTCAATGGGAAAAGGAAGGTAAAAGTTAGGGGGCAGCTAGACCTGCAGCACTGGGGGTGAGGGCAGTGGTGAGACCCAGGGGAAGCTGGAGTCTGAGCATGGATTGAACGAGAAGGACAGTGAGGGGGTTTTCAAAAAGAGCTGCTTCTAGCAACTGAGAGCAGAGCCAGGCCATCGAAAAACTAAACAATAGAAAAACAAAAACAGAATTCCCAGGAAGGAGCTGAATTTTAGAAGCTGGGAAAAAAGGAAAAGACAAGTTGAACATTTTGGAAACATTGGATGTGAGGCCGTAGAAAGCTACACAGTTGGAGTTTTCCAGGCTGCAGGCAGAGGCGCCAATCTGGCTCTTGGGCTTGAAACACTCATTGAAGAACTGGCAACTGGATTTTGGCACATTCACCCTGAGGCAGAGAGGAAGAGGAGAAGTAAACTCGGGACTGGATTTAGCAAGACAGGAACATGAGGGTTGAAGAGTGCATTTTGGAAAGAGGAGGAGCTGGGCTAAATTTCTCGGCTCTGCCATTTAGTTTCTATGAGGATAATACAATGTTAACATCTCTGAGCCTCAGTTTCCCTACTAGAGAGATTGGGAGCACTGGGTTTTCAAGCTCAGAGAGGTATAAGAGGATGAACCGAGCATAGTCATTGAATATCAGTGTAATTTTTGTTTTCTTAAATTATTTTTTAGTTCTTAAAGTAAACCGTTATTTTTATATTTGTGCTTTTCACTCCTTAGCAGTAGCAGCCCACATGCCCAGAGCAGGGATATCTTCCAGGCTAGCCCATCACGTGTTAAAACAGTGCTGCACCTCAGATTGGTTCCAGGGAACACCCTCCTGTCATGCTCCTCCTGTGTCCAGAAATGTCGCTTGATACATGAGGTCCTCTCTGTTGCTTGATGGGAGAAAATAAAGAAATTCAGCCTTTACATTGCAGTTACAGCTCAGCTGATACCTGTTTGCGCTTATCTTCAAGTCTGCAGAGTTTTATGTCTCTTCCTGCCCACAGGGCAGCACAGCCAGCCAGGCATCACCCTGTTTGCCGATGCTCAGCCTCTGGGATCCTACTGAGGCTGGAGCACGACCTCACATGCTGCTCGGTTGGCAACCTCTTCAACATATCTCTGAACTCACCCCTGGATGTTTCTGGCAGGGTGAGTGGTTGGTCATTTACCATGTAATCAATCAACGAGTTCAGTGTTATCTTGGACTCTAGTGATAAGGATAAAATAATAGCCTTCTTCTCTTTTTCCTCAGTTGGATATTCTGAAAATGTGCCTGGTTCCTCTGTGTGTCCTCTGCTGCCTATGCTCTGTTGTGTTGACACCAGGAGGAAATTATCTTAAGTCAGTTTGCACTCAAGGAAGCCTCAGAGAGCTTGTCCTCTGATGCTGCAGGCCCAGACTGCAATTCTTTTATCTAGTTCTGTGCTTCAGAAATGCCATGAGAGGCAACTTTCCTGGATCAGCATAAATCTGCATGTAGCAAAGACTGCATGG